AACCATTTAGTGAATAACCGCGAGTCTTAAAATCTATATAAAAAGAAAGTTTGTTTTATTATTAATTAAATTTAAATTTTTTTATTGAGTTACGTGTGAAATAAAGTAATTTTGATAAAAAAAAATATTTCGATTTATTTAATTGTTATTGAGACGGTTTGGTAGAGACACCTTAAGGTCCAAAGGATCTCCAGCCAGCATTCCATCGAGCAATGTCAAACTATGGCACGTGGCCATCCCCATCTTCAAGTCGTGCAGGTCGTTGAGTTGACTGGGGTCCCTCAAGGCGCGCCCGAGACGCGGTGGGGTCGTCGCAACACTTACGGGGACTACACCCCACATGTCGAGGCCGTCTTCTGTCAGGGTGCCGGTCTGTGGGGAAAGAACATGATACGAAACTTTAAAAAACTATTTGTTTTTTAATGCGAACGCAAAATTGGAATAAAAAAATCTATACCACCGCATCAACCTTTATACTTGGTTCAATATTACATAGCGTGTTTCTATTTGTAACGTCAACAATAGGGGTAGTAAGTAAGACCCTCAAAAAACTATTGTATTTTAAAAATTTTATTTGGACACTTAAATGTTTATGGAATTATTAAAAAAAATTGAGTTTGCTTGTCTGGCAAGTTGCAGAAATGATATGCAATATATAGTACGTTACAATATTTGTTACACGATTAAATAGGTACTTATTGACATAATAGACAAATTAAACTGACAACAATGTTTCATATTTACAAAAGAAATATAACGATATAATACTGTATTATAATCCTTCAATTTCTTCAGAATCAGAAGCAGTGTCAGTGTCCGAGTCGCTCCCAATATTTATTCTAAAACAGGCACACGGTGATTTTAAGAAAATGGTTTTAATTTTTTTTTGAAAAGAGAAAGTATCAAGTTCCTTAGAAGTACCGCCCACTGCACATGCAAAAAATTACACAGTAGCACTAAATCTTTTATTGTTGCTTCTGGTAGGTGAGAGGCAAAGAACCTTAAATCATAAGTTTTTACAAAAATTGCTTTAGGATGCTAAAAATCACGCAATGTTAATTTTCACCTTACGATTAATTTTAAACGCGTAATTCAAAGCCTCGTTTTCTTTAAAACGCTTTGTAGTCAAAAAATTCTACTTGGCACTTTAGGTTCTTTGCCTCTCACCTACAGATATTGCTAGTTAGTGCAACGTAAAAAACTCACCTTATCAAAACAGATACAATCCAACGATCCGCTAACATTGACGGCGCGAGTATTTAAGCAAGCGATTCTTGCTTTCTTTAATCGCGTCACGGCGTACAGTCGACCCACAGTCATGGCGGCGGGCAAAGCTGGCGGTATTACTATAGTTATTATGTCCAAGGCTTTTAGTGTAATATCGCCTGGACTTAAAGAGCGGGATGCCTGGAACAGAATGTGAATGATTATCACTAATTACACTGCTTTCGTGGCCGAACTGTCACCATGCCGGACTGCCACGCAGAGGTCCCAGGTTCGATTCCCGGGCCGGGAGAAATATTTGTATGGCCTACATTTATTTCTCTCGTAAGTCCATGGTACCCGCGACAGAGTTTTCCTAGTGCGGGGTTATGTTGAGTGTGTACGTAATTACAGGTTTCTTACCACGATATGACTTTATAATTATTAATGCAAAGATTCTTAGCAAAAATTCCTTTGATCCGGCTGGACTCGAACCAACGTCTGCTAGCAAACCGTGCCAGACGCTATGCCAACTAAGCCACGGAACAAACCAGTGGACCTTACAAATTTTTCTATGTGCTTGTTGTTTTGGTTTTTTAACGACTTTTTTGTCGTAGCGCCATCTGTGACAAAACTAATTATTCACTCGGCCAGCTACTTTTACAGCTACCAGCAGCTGATTAGTGGTGCCGTTTTAATAATAACTGAAATTAAATTTATCGAATGTTTGGGTGTTTTACCACCACAACATTCAATTATTGTGAAAATGACTCCACTAGTTTGTTAAAAATTTAATCGACACTTAGAAAAAAATCCTTCGATCCGGCTGGACCTCGAATCTTCACACATTCATTCTTCACTTTTCACACCAACATTCTACTTATTTTCCCGGCATTTTGGAACGGTTACAAAGTCAACCCGTGACCATGAGCGCGTAACCGTTCCGAAATCTCGGGAAAATAAAAAGTCATATCGTGGTAACAATCCTGTCATTTAGTGAATAATCACGAAAGCCTTAAAATCTATAGGATGTGAATAATTAAGTCAGTGAGTCATAGAGAATGTCCAATGGTATAATAATAATAGTAATAATAATCCATTTTACTCTTATTAAAATAGAGATTTGATGGTGTTGTACTATTAATATAGTAGCGGGACCTCCTGACACAGGTATTTATTTACTTAATAGGATGGTCCCTACCTTTGTTTGTATTAATGCCGACTGTACAATGAATAAACATTTAAAAAAAAAAAAAAAAAAAAAATTGACAGCACATTAGTCGTTTAAAGAAATTAACCTACTAGCTCCTAAGCTAACTAAATCCAATATTTGTACTATTTGTGTGCAGTAAACTTTAAATGAATAAATTTAAAAAATAATATTATGGTCATTTCCTTATTATTATGTATAAATATAGAATATTTACACATAAGGAAATGACTTTTACTTTAAGACCAGCTAATTGATGTGATTTACTGGCACATTATTACTATTATTTTTTTTGATATCTCTTCCAAATACCTCTTATATTGCCTAAAATTAGCTTTGAATTTTTAAATAGGAGAGGCGTGCATGTGTACGCAATTACTCCGACGTGTGTGAACCTATCTCGATGATTCTTTTTTGTTGATAAAGGGGTATTGTACATATATTGTTGTAGTGGTACCATTCAAATTTGGAGATTATATTCCTAGTCTAAGGATGGCAAATTAGGGGATGAAACCGATTTCCTAAATTTCACTCAATTCCCGTTAACTGATTTCATTAAAACCTGGCACACAAATGTAATTCCAATGAAAATAAAACGGACAAGCAAACTTATGAGGTCGGTTTTTTCATAAATTGTTATAATTATCACACTCTTTTGTGTGTGTAATTGTGTGAATGTGTGATTTATGTACAGTCACAAGAGTGAATACCTTGAGAGCGACGGTATAAGCGAGTCCAATAGCAGCGATGAAAGTGAGAATTATGATAAATTTGTACGAGTCGCGGTCAAACTTGAAGTCAGCAGGCACTGGGTAGAGAATACTGCGGACGAGTTGCCCTTTGCTCGTGTAGTAGCCGGTTCGAAGGACCAAAGCTCTGGAAAAACAAATAATCACATTTAATATATTTTTCTACAATATTACTTTAAATGATTATTTTATATTTGGATACTATTTTCATGTATAAAAATAATTAAACAAGCAGCATAATCCGTAATACATATGGTTAGATTGTGAAAGTACCTTAAAATTAGTTTCTTAATAATGCCATAATTTGTTTTTGTTTTCAAATAAGCATAATTTTTGTTATGTATTTTTATGTATTTTATATTGCTTTTAAATTAATTATTGTTGCCTTATACCGCATAGCTACTCGGTTATTCAAGATTAATGTAAGAATTCGTTAAGTACTGCTACATTGTCTATTTCTGCCGCCAAGCGGTTATGTTAGCATTACTGCGTTACGGTTTTGAAGGGTTAAAGGTGCTGATGCAATTACAGGCACATGGGATTTGTCAACTTAGTCTCAGATCTTTGCGATTTAAAGCTCTGTGTGGTGCTACAACTGCTATGGACAGGCGTGTAGTTTGCCATCAAGTACACGACTTGTTTGTCCCGTCACTTGATATTATAATAATCTCAGTACAGAGTACTAAAAAAACCGACCTCAAAATACGTGGAATTACATATAATTTAGGTTACCGGATAGTGCACAAACCCGGATTCATCCTCTAGTTCGCCACTATACGGGACTTGACACAGGAGATAATAAAAATCGGTTCTCACAACTCAAATTATATTGAGAGAGAAACGCATTGAATTAAAGAATAGCAAAATCCACCATTGAAATAATTGCTCCTTATAATATATGTTAGGCGCTATTTATAAAAATGAATCTTCATGCGTGAACAGCCACCTGTAGAGAATTAAATGGGACCACTATGGAGGTACCCTCTTTCCAACAAAAAAGAATCATGAAAATCGGTTCACAAATACCGGAGTTATCGCGAAACTTACATACAAAAAAACGTAGAGTCGAACTGAGAACATCCTCCTTTTTTTTGAAGTCTGTTAAAAACAGACATGCTTTGTTTCCGAGACAGGCGTAGCCTTGTGTGGTTTAGTTCAAATATATGAGTTACAGTAATTAAGTAAATAAATATCTACACTACTGATATGGACATTTAAAAAAATTGTACATAAAAAATAGCATCCAAATATATAATAATTTTGTTTTATACTATGATTTATAGCATTATGGCACGAGAATACTGTGATGAATATCTTATTTTTTCAAATCATGTTTCCCGTGTTCATTTCATTATTTTTATTATGAGTAAGTGCCCTCATCAATTTGCTGTGCCCTGACAGGTTGTTACATTTACAAGCCACTGTACAAAATAATACAAGTGTGACAATGCAATAAATGAATAAATAAATAAAGAACCTAGTTTGTAATAATTATTAAACTGGTTGAAAACTTAGAAAAAATTCCTTCGACCCGGCTGGATTACAATCAACGTCTTCTATCAAACAACGTCTTCCGATTTATGGGGAACTGTTTTTACAATAAGATTCCGCAGAATACATTAAGATTATCATTTCCTAAGTTTAAAACTTACATTAAAATTATTTTAATTGAAAAGTCATATTACAAAATTTAAGAGTATGTTGTAGATAAATAAGTATGGAAAGACAACAAGAGTCTACTTTATATAGCATTTATTTGAAAAGAGCAATCCCTAGTTTCTTGCTCGTTCTTCTCAGGAAGGCCAGCGTAGTGAACGAGCAGTAGCTTAAAAACAATGATGTTTTCAAGTGTAAAAATTTTACCTATGGAATAAATGATTATTTGACTTTGACCTTGACCGAAAAAAATATTTAATATGATGGTGGTGAAACATCCTAAAATAAAATTAATTATAATCATTACAGCGACATCTCTACTCAGCTGCTGGTAGCTGTAACCTGAACCTGGCCAAGTAACGCCCACATAGAAAAAATCAACAACAACACAGAAAAATTTGACAGGTCCGCTGGTTCGTTCTATGGCTTAGTCGGCATAGTCTGGTATGGTTGGCTAGAAGACGTTGGATCGAATTCAAGCGGATCGGAGGATTTGTTGCGAGAGCTTTATGTCACTCTCGCGCAAGTCGTGACCTATCGTGCTACTGCAGTCTTACCATGAACTCTTATTGAGATTTAACTTTAAACCTAAACAAGTCAGTTAAGCTTATTCGTACCACGACGTCTTAAAAACGATAGTGTCAACAGCATTTACGCCAACGCCAAACGAAAACCTAAATTGAGTCGCAACTTCTTTGAAATCCATCCTTCATACATTCGCTAGTTAGCGGCTGAAATACGAGTCAGTTTTAATTAGCTCATGGTAGGAATTTTAGCGATTCAATTTAGGAACCTAAATTGAACTGCTTAGTTAGTGACTCGTTTTAATAAATATCATGGTAAGGCCCCTGTAGCTACAATTAAAATTAATAATGTGACAACACTACGCTCTGAGTGACGTGTAAGCATTGACGCGGCGAAAAGTTGTCTTTTTATACTATTTTCGAATACTAGACTAATACGTACTTAACAGGCTCATTATTGTAGTACCGCGTCTGTATGACCTTGGTGCCACAGAAGAGAACGCTGGACGCGTGTTCCTTAAGATCGAAGGTCTTATTTATATGGAGCAGAGATGTCTTTGTCACCGGTACTGATTCGCCTGTTGAAAGGATAACATCAGTTTAAAAGATTGTTAAGAGTCGATACTACCTCAACTCGAAATTAAGTTTTTCCCGTATTAAATCGGTTCCATTTGCGCGATTCGAGCGCCAGTAACACTGGCTGTATTTCAGAATTTCTTTTTTTACAAACTAGACTAAAACCATTTGAAAAATGTATATTGTATACTATACGTGTTCTATTCAGTTCAGTTGACATAAAAAAATTATTGGTATATATAGTGCCATAGTGCCTACTTATTGAAAACAGCATTTTTCTTGTAAAATTTCGAAGTAAGTTTGTGTTTTTTTTTGTCTATTGTGAAAATTTTTGAGAAATGTGTTTTCACACCATATACTAATCAGTGTAAGTATATTCCAAATGCTACTACATGTTTTTTCCACTTTCACTGTTATGCGTAATCAACCAAAACCCTTAGAGATTGTATAAACTCTAAAATAAGTTTACAACACTGTCACGAAAATTATCATAATTCAAAATAAACCGCATCAATGATTTATATGAATATTTATTGTAAAGTACGTATAATCGCGTCATTCGGATTATCTGTGCCCGCCCAACAGATATTACGAGGTTGAAAATGAGCGTGTCAGGAAAATGGCTCGTTAGAGAGATATCCGCGATAGTAAATTAGTAGAATTTTCGAGTTAAGAGGCGGCAACATTTCTGTTTTTTTTTTTTTTCAAGTACTGTACCAAAGTACACAAGTTTTCGGTTTAAAATGTATTCATTTTAGTGTTTTTCAGACCGTGTTATGTATTTGAAAAATACATAAAATATTCAGAAATTTTGACGCCTCTACAGCCTCTACACCTAAATTTGCAAATGCTTACAGATGGTTTTTTTTTTTTGGAGTTATACTGTAAGCAAGTCAAACACATAACACTTCCCGCCATTCGTGGTTCAAAATAAGAAATGTATTCTTTCCCATACAAAAAATAGTAGATTGTACAACAAGTTCATAAAACACGTCATTTTACCCGAGACGAGTAAGTCGAGGGTAAAATGGGCTTTATGAACGAGTTACTCTGCTTTTCACTTCGATTGCGAGGAAATTAAACAGCAATGTTACAAATAAACGATTATTTAATTAAAATTGAATGTAAAATTACAACAATTAGACATATTTAATGTGATGATTTTTTAAATTTATGCACTAGAGCATAAAATCCTATTTTATGCAGCCTGTACCCAGCATAAATACGTACTTTAAGAGCATAAGAAGTGAAAAAACCATTTTTTGTCTGAAAGTATCAACATTTCAAGAAATTATACAAGGATGAATGAAACTTGGCAGTTGATTTTCTTAGTAAATCATTAACAAAGCTCATACTTCGTTGAAATACAACAATTTTCCGCAGGCATCGGCAGGGTGGAAAAATCGCGTACCACCTTGTGCAGGTGCTGACCGGGCACGGTTGCTTCGGTCACTACCTGCACAAGGTGGCGAGGAGGGAACCGTCCCCGTCGTGCCACGAGTGCGGCGCTGCGGATGACACCGCGCAGCACACCCTAGAGGTGTGTAGCCGGTGGGATGAGCAGCGCCGCACTCTGACGGGGACTATAGGGCAGGACCTCTCGTTGCCGAGCGTGGTTGCCGCCATGCTCGATAGCGAGGAGTCCTGGGAGGCGATGGCCTCCTTTTGCACAGAGGTTATGTCGCAAAAGGAGGCCGCGGAGCGGGTGCGCGAGGACGCGGCGGACGCGCACCCGCTCCGGCGCAGACGTACGGGGAGAAGGCGAAGGCAGTTCGCTGCTCGCCTGATCCCCTAGTGAGACCAGCGGGCTCTGGACAGGGACTCCGGAGCCTACATTACACGGCCTCACTCGTCTGGGGGGCGGGTCGGAGGACAACCGACTCGTCCCTCCGTTGGCGCGGGAGCCCTGGCGCAAGCTAGGGCGGCCGGGCGGCGTCGTGGTGAATGTTCACTGATCCCACGGCGCCGACTCAACCGGCGAGAGGGAAACCCGGGGGGGTTTTAGTGGGGTAGGCCTTCCAGTGTGGAGGGAGGGTCCCCACATAACCCCTAAGTCTCCGTGGGCTCAGGGGTGTCCATAAAGATTTCAACCCCGTCAAAAAAAAAAAAAAAAAGAAAAAAAAAGGGTGGAAAAATCGCCGGCGTACATGTCTACTACTTAATAATATAATCATTAAGTGGTACATTGTAGTGGTAGTGGTTTACCTGTTAACATGCTCTCGTTAACAATGGCTGCCCCTGTAAGCAAAGCGGCGTCGAAATGCATAATGCAACCATGCTGCGGTAGTATTATAATATCTCCTGGTGCAATAGAGCGGCTGTCCACGGTACGACCGTCCCACAGCTGAACAGTGTCGTAAGCTTCCACCGTTGCGCGGAGGTTTCGTTGGTTCTGAGAACAAATGGCTACAAAATTCAAAGACGAAGAAAAATTCCTTGGATTCGATTAGACTTGAACCAGTCTCTGTTGCCTCAACGTAGCTACAGCTATGTAACTAACACCTGACCTACGGATCGAGGCAAGTTGAGGCACATAAATAATGTGAAGTATTTTTTTTTATAATACCAAGTGATGGGACGGACAAGTCGTGTGCCTGTTGATAAGTGACACGCCTATCCATAATAGTTGCAGTGCCACTCAGGGCTTTAAATCGCAATGACCTTAGAGGCGCTGCCCCAGCGTCCGTCACCCTAAGACATAAGTTGACAAGTCCCAAGTGCCTGTAACTTTACCAGCACCCTTACACTTCCAAACCGGAACGCAGTAATACTCACATTACTAACTGGCGGCAGGCATTGGTGGCAGTACTTCCCTGGACGAACTCTTTCACAAAAAGCTCTACTGCTAATAAAAGTATTTTTACAAAAAATATATGAATAACATAATATTCATACAAAGATCGAACACTTAGAAAAAATTCCTTCGATCCGGCCGAATTCGAGCCGACGTCTTCTAGCAAACCGTGGCAGACGCTATACCAACTAAGCCACGGAACGAACCAACGGACCTCACGAATTTTTCTATGTGCTTGCGTCGTGTCTTTGTATTTGGTTTTTCAACGACTTTTTAGTCGTAGCGCCATCTATGAGAAATCTATGAAAGATTTATCACCCAGTTAGTACCTTTACAGCTACCAGTGCTGGCGAGAGATGGCGCTATTCACTGTATTAATTAAATTTTTATTGAATTGATATTCAATAAAAATGTAATTAATACAATGAATAGCGATTTGATATCAACTAAGCCACGGAAACTAGTGGAGTAATTTCACAAAAAATAATTGAATATCAATTCAATACAAATTTAACATGCTATTCAGTTAAAATAAATATTATAAAAGGTTATGAATAATATAACCAAGAACCTCCTTGGCTTAATGAGTTAAAAGAAACTAAACCTTATTTGTATAATCAGCACAGGTCAGAATAGACAGAGAACATGTACCTTTAGGTACATGTTGTACCTAAACTTCAAGTAACACATATAAAGTAGAGAATACTTTCTTTTGAAATACCGGAATGATAATAAAAAGCCAAGGCAAATTATATTTCTTTTCAATCCATTTTGAACAAAAAGTAAACAAACAAGTCACTGACCCGACCATAGACGGTTTAGTATGGCCAATTGTAATGCCAACTACAAATCGATTAATTAATTGTATGAATCGATTTCTTTAATTGAATTATACTAGCGGTTTTTTTTACATAACCTATACAAGACATTTAGAATCTCCGAAACCTTAATTTTAAATCGTCCTTCAAATACTTAGGTACACTTAGATACTCGTTTAATTGCGATTGGAATATATGATTTACTAATCGACTACAGAGATCATGCAACCATAGTGTTGTACGAAAAAAAATCATAGTTGCATTGTTGACAAATAACTTCACTTTTGGACTACCATTCTTCAAGTACGATTTTACGATCTATTCAAATGAATATTGTCGGAAAAAGTGATGAGATATCAAGTTGAAAACTTCGAACTATACGTGAGAGTGTTACTTATTGGATTTATTGAGTGATAGCTTTAGAATTTTAACCAAACAGTTTTGTTTACATTTTTTTCAAAATGGATTGAAACAGACTTTAGTTATATTTTTACTTACAATAGCAAAACATTTTTTTTAAATACACTGCTGTAGTAAAAGTAATTGCTAGTCACACATTAAAAACATAGAACAAAATATTAAATATATTTCGGTTTTCCGGTCTACAACATTTCCATGAAATTGGGGTAAATTATACTCAGTACGTATAAGCGCCTTGACGTCGAGTTGCGGACACCAGCCCGTTACACCAAGTACCAAGTACCAAGTAAGTTTAAATATGCGTGTATGTTGTTTAATTTTGTTTATGATACTAAATGACGGGACAAAAAAGTCGTGCGCCTGGTGGTTGGTAAGCGACACGCCTGTACATAGCAAGTGCAGTGCTAGTCAGAACTTTATATCGCAAAGATCTGAGGAGCACTGCCACTGCCTGCCACCCAGAGATACAAGTTGACAAGTCACCCTTTAAAACCGGAACGCAGTAATGCGCACATTACTGCTTGGCGGCAGAAATATGTAGGTACTGCTACTAAAATAATCTAAATCAATTTGATTTAACTTTTTATTAAATTGATATTCAATTATTTTTTGTGAAAGTACTCCACTAGTTTGTTTTAATTATTAATAAAAAGGTCGAACACTTAGTACTCCTTCGATCCGGTCGGATTCGAGCCGACGTCTCCTAGCAAACCGTGACAGATGCTATGCCAACTAAGCCACGGAACGAACCAGTATACCCAACGATTTTTTTTCTATATACTTGTTGTCGGATCTCTGTATTTGGATTTAAACAACTATTTAGCCGTATATAGTAGCAATTTGATTTACTGACCTTCTTCGTCTGTATAACGGAGGTAGTCACACCAAAAGTCGACATAAGTACAACAGCAATGCAGTAATAGTAATAAGGCTCAGCCAGCCATACAGCTACAGTGAACAGCTGGAATACGTAGAACGGGTTGAAGACTTCCAGCAGGATTAAAGTCATTATAGAATGTACGGGCACTTTGATCTCGTTTAGACCGTATACGTTTAACCTGAAATACAACATTGAATTACTTGGCGTGTTTTAAGATTCGATCAGCTGCTAAAAAAACTTCATAAATAAACAAACGTGTACCATAAGAAATGACCAGGTACCAGCTTTTTTTTTACTAAAAAAAACAGGCCTCAAAAGTTCGTGGAATTACATTCATTTGCAAAGTTTTATTGAAATGGAAAATGGATTCTTCTTCCTCTTTTAAAGTTATGGCCCCATCGAAGTAATCGATGATTTCGCCAATGGCAAGCGTTTCTACTTCACTGAGAGGAGAATATACAAATTTATTTAATCCAACAAACCGGATTGAGCCCTTAATTTGGCACCCTGGAATATTTTCTACAAATTTGAATGCGACCCCTACTAAGGTATCCCTTTTCCAGCTAAAAAGAATGTATGGTCAGAACCAAACTGATTAAAAATGTTGCCTATATATTTGTTTCACCGGGATTCAACCCAGTGGCAGTAAATAACATAAAAAACACGATTTTTGACAGTCGCAGCGTTGAAATTAATAAAGCGCCACCTATTGAACAAGTTAGTAACCTTAGTTTAATAGCTAAGCGCTAACTTACATGCGCACGCGTCTTTCACTGGACGGCGCTCGCGTCCCCATGGCGTACAACTGAGCACATGTTGCGCCCTGCTCAATGCCCGCCAGGAGAAGCCACTGCGCACGCCCATTGTCCCAGATCAAAGTTTGTTTTTTGTGACGGAAATATCTGTATGTTTGTACGTCTGGAAAATAAGATTTATGTTATATATATGTTTCATTTGAATGAATTCAATCGAATTCTCTATATAAGGGCCAGGTAAAACCAAAGCGGAGGACATTAAATTTATCAATTATTATGGATAAATTTAATGATCACGAGCAACTATACACAAAGGTACAAAATTTTTCATTACATCACATGGACAACCCTTACGGTTTGTAGACAAGCTAGGGATGCACTCCCCATACTCAGCACCGGCAGTCTATCTCGTAAATTTCTTAAGCTCAAAAGGAAAGAGCTGCGCATTCTAACAACTCCAACTGCCATTTTAACGGGTCATCGTCATAGGTTCCCAAAGGTTTTGGTTCTCTGCCCACTTAGGCAAGTTAAAAAAAATTTCAACGCCAACCACCTCAAATAATAATTAAAAACACGTATTTTTTTATACTAAGTTTACACAAACAAATCACAAAGAAAAAATTACATATTTATAGTGTAGTTTATATAGATAATTCAGGTAGCATCAACGCCTCCCAAATGCTTCCGAGGTCCCTAACCTAGGACTCTTCAGCGCCCACTGGGAGGCAGTAGGGTCCACTTTGGGAAACTATGGTCTATATAATAAACACCTTTTCAATCTAAGTATTACGGACAGCCCTCTATGCACAGTATGCATGGAGGGGTAAGAAACGGCCGCGCACATACTACTGCAAGGCTCCGGCGTGGCCAACTGCAGGGCGGAATACTTTGGACTGCCGAAGTCTTAAGCAAGAAGGGTGATGAGGATTCTCGAAGGTGCTTGGGTGGTACGAGTAGGACCCTGTACCCACCACACCCACCATGGCGCCTGGTCGTCAAGTTGTGAACACCAGCCCATTACACCATAACCTAACCTTTGATAAATTTAATGTCCTCTACCTTCCCGTCCGCCTGTTTGCACTGGCCCTTATCCAATGGCGTATATTAATTGCCTATAAATAATTAATATACGCCAATTTGGATGCAGATATTAAATTTCGAGTATAATAGTTATAATATAAGCATTATAAACTCGTTTTCAATATTTGTCATTCGGTGAAGACAATGTGTTAAGAGTCGATAGTATCTCAGTTCGAATTTAAATTTTTCTTGTACTAGTATGGTTAATTTTGCTTAGATCGAGCGCCAGAGAAACTGGTTTTATTTCAGAATTTATTTTTCTTTACAAACGGAATTAAAGCCAGTTGAAAAATGTATATCGTATAGTACACGTGTTCTATTTACTTTAGTTGATATTAAAAAAAGGCATTTGTATATGTAAAGTAACCATTGAATACAGCGGTTTTCTTGTAAAATTTCGAGGTAAGTTTGTGTTTTTTTTTTTCTATCGTGGAAATTTTTAGGAATCGTGTTTTCACATCGTATAGTAAACAGTGTATATCCTCAATTGTACTATATATATTTTTAAGTGATTGATTCAACACTCTCACTGTCATGCGGAATCAACCAAAGCCATTTGAGGTAGTGAGAACTCTTTAAGTCGAACAATCTAATACAGATTTACAAAATGCTTGCGAATACGTACATACGCTTCCATAAACAGGATATGCATGCGATAAAACTTTATGGCTTAATTCTACTCATAAAAATGAATAATTTCCGTTCGCCAACGAATGGTGATAATGAACTTTATCTAAATACGTATTAATACATCCGAGCAAACAAAAAAATTACAACTGACATGACCTTTGAACTGATAAGAAATATGGAATTGGGCAATTTTATATTACAATGGAAAGTACAAAATAAGAATTTGTAATAATTAGCTATCTATAAACGAGGAAGGCTGAAGATGAGGTGCATAGGCAATATTGCCAAATATTTAAATAAATAAATGACGCACACACTCATAGGGAAACCCTGTGTCGCGGGTGCCACAGAATATCACAAATTACACACAAACTCAAGAGATAAATAAATGTAGGCCATACAAATACTTCTCACGGCCCGGGAATCGAACACGGGACCTCTGCGTGGCAGACCAGCATGGTAACGTTCCGCCACGGAGGTAGTTAAAGTTATTTAAGAAAGTATGAGGAAAGAGGTGGGAGAGACTAAGAGGGGAGGGGGAGAAGAGATGTGTACATGTATAGATACGGCTCTGTGAAATTTTCTACATTACATAAGTTCAATGTTGATAACTTTTTCTATTTTCGTCATATTAATTCCTTTATTTGCCATAAAAAGGCCAAGGAATCACGTTGCAATATGACGAAAGGCGACTCTGGCTGACGAACTCGAAACAAGGCGCTAGAGAAAAGACCAAAACAATCTATTGATGGTTACGATCTTGAATGCTAAAAATAATACAACTGGGGAATAAGAAAAACACTAAAATATTGTAAAATATTCGTTCGATTACTTACTAAGTGTAGTGCCATCATCCAAATGTATTGGAATATGAAGGTCATCTACAGTGTCTATGGGCGCTTTTTTATCAGAATGCTCGTCTTGGAAGCCCTCGTTTAACAATCCACTGCAACATAATTTAACTGTTAAAAATTAAATGCTTATTACCACCTAAAGTTACGTGTCAAATGTGAAAATTACACCAAAATTATTTTATAAATAAAATAGACATTCTGAAATCAGCAGATGATATCACACTTTTGTGGTACCATACAATCTTAGGTAAAAAAAATAGTAGTACGTAAGGACGAGTTTTACTATGTCGCATAAAATATAATATAAATACAAATAAATATGTCATTAAATGTTATATAAATATGATAATTACAATCCAATAAAGATAAAATACTATATCTACTTAAAGATACGTAGATAGCGTCAAGTAGCTACATACTGTTCAGTATAGGTTTGTGAACCGACAGCCGATTTGTGAGCAGTAGATCTAATTGTGAAAGAGTTCGTCCAGGGAAGTACTGCCATACATATTTCTGCCGCCAAGCAGTAATGTCAGCAATACTGTGTTCCGATTTTGAAGGGAAAGGGTGCTGGTGAAATTACAGACACATGAGACTTGTCAACTTACGTCTCAGGGTGACGGGCGCAGTGGCAGTGCCCTTCAGATCTTTGAGATTTAAAGCTCTGAGTAGCACTGCAACTGCATGGAAAGGCGTGTAGCTTACCATGAGGCGTACGATTTGTTAGTCCCGTCACTTGATATTATAAATAAAAGCCAGTACGTGAAATCGAACTACGATCGGACGATCTCGCACACTCCTTCGTGATATTAATAGTAAGGTGCACCAGCACGCAGTTAAGTGCTCCTTTCTGTAGTTGAAGAAATATTATTTGCACCCATGAATTTATCTCTTGGAACGGCTTATCCTTTCTATTACAATACAATAATAAAATCATTAACACTCCTTTGACTCAAAGTGTACATGGACTTAATGATCTAAGAGTCATGGATGCGCTAAATGATTTTTCTGAATTCTAGTTTTGAATTAGTTCTTAGTACTTCGTAAATTAGCGACTGCCGACTCCATTCTTACTAATTTAAGAAAATTAGTTCCGCATAAATCTTCTTTTATGAATTAAGTGCCATTGCCTAAAAGTGTTTAAACTAGTTGTTTGCACTATTCAAATGGCACGTGCGTTACCGAGACGGTTGACTCTTTTGCCCAATTGTATTCTAAAGATGAAGTGATAAAAGACAAATCAGTGCAAATAATATTTCGCCACCTATATTCATATCACATAAATGCACCCGAAGGGTGCATACAGATTTGGCGAATGCGCCTGTTTTGAAAAGGGTCGCCAATTGTACACGTGCGCATGCGAATTTTACGAATGTGTGCGTCATCTGCATCAGCGATCTGTGATCAGTAAAAAAGGCCGATCTCTATTTTAATTTTTTCCTGGGTGGATAAGGTATAAAGTTACCGCAAGAGAAAAGTATATTTTTTTTTCATTTCGTTTTTCAAACAATATTTTCTCGGTTTTGAGTTATTGTCCCATGAGCCCTTTCAACTAAGGGCGGCAGACAATTTGTCGTATTTCTACTATGCTAATAGTCACTCACTTATATACGTGTGTGTGTACACGTATATAATATTTTATTAGGCAATGTAAGGAAATGTAATTAATTACCTTGTATCAGCAACATTTTTGTCCATAATTCTATGTGTGTAATAACTCTTGCATTTCTTCTGATAAGTTTCCTGTAAATTTTAATAACTAAATATGTTTAGGTACCTAAACATGTACACGTACTAACATTTAGAAGCAGTGTTGTAGTGAGTTAATATTACGAAATATGCTTAAGCTTGAGTTTGCTCGGGTATGTATCACTTTATCAACATTTTGTAGCCCAAACAAAACCAATATATTATGGTTGTTTTGCTAAAATCGTGGCGAATAAAATAAGGTAATGTGGCCTGCGTTTGTGTGCCTATACTTAGCAATTATTCTATTGCTGGATGTAACAAAAATATAATAATAATGTTACTAACAATCACAATTATTTTATTATTATTCTTCTTAAGCTGGGCGATTTCCCGTACTGCGACCGTAAAGTAACTAAATAGTAATGCAACAGAAGTGTCATAACGGAAACAGATGTCTAAAGCAAATCTTAGCGGAAACGGAAGCGTATGCGGAAGTGTATTGTAAAGATCTCATCGAAATTATTCCAAACAAGACTTGCGTTTTGTTTCATAATTGCACTTAACAAAAAACTGCCAGCCAAACGTTCTAAAGTTCCGTCATAACAGTCGCGGAAACAGAAACGGAAACAGATGTGAAAAAGCGCGAGGAATTTCCGCAGCTGCGGAAGCAGCTGGGATCTATCGCATCACTATTAAACTATAGTATAATTCCGGAGCACTACCCTGATCGATTCAGAAAAGCTCGTTTATAAAATTGGTTTTATCGGGAATCGAACACGGGACCAACTCTTTTAGATCCCAGAGTGCTAACCGCAGGGATAGTCTTTTGTCGATGTGAGGTTACACTGCAGGGATTGCATGACACCAGATGGTTCATTGGGACGCAAGTTGGGTAGTTTCATCCATTTTCTATTATGACACCGGGTTCGCTGCAGCTTCACTAGAAACTTCGGTTATACTGCCCATCTATGTAATATAGAGATCCCTAAATACCGCACTTGAAAGTCAGTCTGACACTCAAAGAATATTTAAATAAAATTTCAAACCAATTCTATGTCATCTCAATTTCAGGAATGATTAGACCTCCAATACTCACAATAATCAAAACCTGGTCAGCCATTTGAAAACAGCATCTCACACTCATGGCGTAGACCTGCCAAGTGGGGCACCAATGGAAGAGCAAAAAGGGTATGCCACACGTAAACACCGACAACGTGTAAATCAACAGCGTTCGCCAACGGCTCTTGCGGTAGCCGTATACCACCTGGAAACATAGGCAATGGTTAATACAAGGTGCACAGATTAATTGATGATTATAAAAAATCTACATGCAAAAGTGCTATTACAATAACTTTAAAGTTTAAGAAGGAACAGAACAGGGGCTGCTAATTTTTTATACACACTGCTTATTTTAGTTTTCTGTTGAATTTTTAACTGGCAATGTTAATAGTTCTAACGCCGTGAGTTAAAAGGACGCATGTGACAAAAACTCAACACCGAGAAAATAATGTTGAAAGAAATTAAATTAGAAAAATATCTACTTTTCTCTTGTGTTAACTTCATAACTTATCCACCTAGGAAAAAATAAAAATGTTGACAAATTAGCCTATTTTTTTTACTGATCACGTCAGTATACATAACAATTGCTGTACAAATGATTAAATAATAATCTCAGTGCAGAGTACTAAAAAACCGACTTCAAAAGTATATGTATAGACTATATGTATAAGTATATGTATATGTATGAAATATATGTATAGTTCCTGTATAGTTCGCCACTATACAGGACTTGACACTGGAGATAATAATAATCGGTTCTCACTACGCAAAGTATATTGAGAGAAAAACGCCTTGAATTGGAAAAATAGTAAAATCAACTACTAAAATAATTGCTCCTAAATTAAAGTTAGGCGCTATTTATAAAAATGAATCTTCATGCGTGAACAGCCACCCTTAAAGGTGGATGATTTTCTTCAAAATGAAATGGGACCACTATGGAAGTACCCCTTTCCAACAAAAAAAGATCATGAAAATCGACATTTTTTTATTATTGTGTTGTGGTAGTTTGATTGACATAAATTAATACAGCTAGACATTTGACATGCTATTTAATATAATGCGAAACATATTTGTACTGGCACTGTCTTTTATAACATCTTTTGTTATACCACGTTTTAAGCAAATAAAAGAATTATTATTATTTTTAATTTCAATTATTTTTTATGTGAAATTACTCCACTAGTTTGTAATAATTTTTAATACAAAAATTGAACACTCACAAAAACTCCTTCGATCCGGCCGGATTCGAACCGACGTCTTCTAGCAAACCGTGTCAGACGTTATACCAACTAATCCACGGAACGAACAAGCGGACCTCACGAATTTTTCTATGTGCTTGTTATCGTGTCTTTGTATTTGGTTTTTCAACGACTTTTTTAGCCGTTGAGCAATTTTTTTTTATGTCACAAGCGGCCGTTCAACTAAAGGCGGTAGAGTTTGTACATAAAGTATATAATCGATATTTTTAGCGAAATTGAGTTATTAACATACTATCTGGGAATCAACGAAACGAGACCTACATCCCCTATAAGCGGTAGTTATACTTTATTTAGTTTCATATTTATTGTCAGCGTAACTGACATTTTTCAAAGAAAAAGAACTTGGGTGCCAATATCTCGAAAGTTATCAAAATACAAATGCGTTAGAACACAATAACAACATAAGGAAAAGGTATATGCAACAGTCCGTCATGCTCTAGTCCAATGCGAGTTGGTGACTTCAATAAAGGACTATCACGATAGGGCGCGATTCGCGCGAGAGCGACTTAAAACGCGAGATACTGTTATTCTCGCATAGAGATCTCGCACTTTATATCGCTCTTGCGCAAGTCGCCTCTTATCGTGCTAGCCCTATTGGTTATTTCAAGAGCTGCTAACTTTTTTCGACGTTAATAAAATTGTAAGTAAATTAATTTGCTACTTCGCTACACTAATGGGTCTAATTTAATGTAATTACTATAAAACAACACACCACGCGCAGGCGCGAGACGGGTGCACGCGCTTTCGTGTGGTGTGTTGACATCCATATAAATACATAGAATTAGACCCGCCGTGCTTCCGACCTGACACGCGCCCGACCCGCACCCGCTCGTGTCTGTTTCACGCTTAAATGGTACAAAATAGTTGCGCTTGTGTTGGATATTTTTCATGCACTTAATTTTCCCACCATCCATTTAAAATCAATTAAAAACATAACACAAGCGCAACTACAGTTACAGGTACAACCACTAAAAATATAAACGACACATGTCTCGCCTCTCTATGAGGCATCCTCAAGAGTGTTGATTGTTTGAACCTCAGCCAAAGAATCAGCATCGAAAAAGTGTCGAACAATCAACATGCAACAACAAATAACTGCATTGAAAAAAATAATGAAGACAAGCGCAGCTATTTTGCAAATTAATTTACTTTCTCTTTTATTAACTTGGACTTCCGCAAAGTAACGCTGGTATCTATTAATTACTTCTTCCACATTTCAGCGAGAGGATTTTCTAATGTACATAACTTAGAAATTAAAGTCATCAATACAGGGATTTGAACCATCAACCTCTCAAATGAGAAGCAACAGTTCTCCCACTTAGCTACCAATGCCACACACATTCAAATTGACATTTACAATTCCATATTCAATCATACCAAGTTCAATAAATTTACAATTTGAAATCTAAGTTTCTTTTCAAAAATAATTGACCAAACAGTTTAATTGTAATAACTAACAACATATACACACAGTACCGAAAACAAAACCACCGGACTTGCCTTGGAATAGGTCTTATCTGAAATACAGATAAAGTATTTAAAATGCTATTCAAATTTTATGAACATATAAATGCCTTTTATTATAACTTCACATATTTAATATGTGAAAACAACAGCTTTTTACACTAATTAAAAATTCCTTATGTTTATTTTTCATGTATCTGCATGTATTATTATGTATATATAATGTTCATATTGTTATTTAAAGTGATCCAGACCAGATCTATCAAAATATTAAAGGTAAAGCAGCTTGACACTTCTTTGACTTTTCTGAAAAAGACCAACAAGAAACCTGATCATTGTGACCCAAATTTGTTTATATTTGTTTAAAGTATTTATTTAGGATTACCTTGGAGGGATATTCAGGTGTTCAAACCTCCATTGAAACGGTAAAACCTAATTAGTAGGAGGAATCTTATTAGAATAGGATACTAAGTGACAAGATGAAGAAGTCGTGTGTCTGGTGGTCAGCGACACTGCATTTGTTATGGACAGATATCCATAACAAATGCAGTGCCACTCCAATCACAAAGATCTTAGAGGCACTGTCTCTGCACCCATCACTCTGAGACATAAGTTGACAAGTCCCACATGCATGTAATTTCTCCAACACCCGTACTTACCCTTCAAAACCAAAATGCAATATTTCTCACATTACTGCCCGGTGGTAGATATAGGTAAGATACTTCACTGGATGAACTCTAACAACAAAGAGCTAAACAGCTACTGGCAGCTGAACATTTAGGACCAACCCCTGTGAGGTAGACGTAGCTCCCATTGAAAAGTAGAGCTCCTTGTGAAAGAGTTTGTCTAGGCAACTACTGCAACCTTACCCATATCTACCGCCAATGAGTAATGTCACCATTACTGTGGTCCAAGTTTGAAGGGTAAGGGTTCTGGAGAAATTACAGGCACATGGCACTTGTCAACTTATATCTCAAGGTGACGGGCGCAGTGACAGTGCCCCTCAGATCTTTGCGATTTAAAGCTCTGAGTGGCACTGCAACTGTTATGGGCAGGCATGTGGCTTTCCATCAGATGCACGACTTGTTCATCCCGTCACTTGATATTAGAAAAAAAAAAAAAAAAAAAAAAAAAATGCAGTACACTTGGACTGCCTCTGCATATCAAACACCAGAAGTGTAAGCTATTGTTTCCCACATCATTGCGAACATACAAGACATTTTTGCATTGACTGCATCCAAAATTTTGTAATTGCAATGTAGTCAGAAAGCAGCTCATTTGACTACACTTTAGAGGAGACTTATGCCCAGCAGTGGATGTAATGATATATATAATTGTTATATTACCTGTTCCAAATCAGGGTCCGTGTTCAATATCTGAGTAGTCAGACCAAGAAATGAACCACTACGTCTTCCCTGCCTCTGGAGCTCCACTTCATTATAAATCAGGGGTTGAACATCATCTTCAGACTCCATGATTATTTTTTTAGACTATGTTAAACTAACTAAGCTAGACTAAGTACCTTCTTTCATAAGTTTCTTGGTAAAGTATTTAATGATTTTATATTTAATAACAGAAACTTATTTTTTCTTTACTCTTGTCATAACTGTGTTTTAAGTGCTTCGATAATGATGACAATGTTATAATAAAACACGCGTCATTTCACATAGAACATGATACCAGGAGCAAAAGACTGCAGTTTTAGACACCTGAATTGATTTATCATATTAGTCACACCGTGACTAATCGCGTACATTGCCTTGTTAGCCATTTCGTGCGTAATTGTGTAGACTAGTTTATCTCAGCGTACAGGAATAAATTAGTTTGAAGTGTATAATTATATGTAGGGCAGTCGAGGTAAAAACCTTGCAAGAAACCTTGAAGACAACATTCCATTTTCAATTATTGCTCACTTTCTACTTCAAATAGGTGTTTTCATGCATTTTTCATTACATTTTATTTAACGATTTCTTGGAATTTAAAGTTTCAACAAAGCAGTGAAACATATGGTTATTGTTTATCAAGTATTTCTAAATAAAGTAATAAAAGTAGTATGTTTGTTTAAACTATAACAATGTCACAACAAACTTCTTTTGGTAATTCAATTCTTTTGTTAAAGTTAATATTTTATATATTTTGTTTTCAAATATATCAATTTGAAATACGAAATGAAGAAACGCACTCTACTCAATCAAATCGCAAATAAACTGACATTTTGTTCATTCTCTTGATTGAAGTAAATATTGAATGAATGATTAACATCATTCGGATACACAAAGATGCAAAGGTGTCACATTTCGTAGCCGGGGGTTTTTACTTAAGTTCTTAGTCCAACATCCGACCGATTATGTAATACCCGACCAAATTAAAAGACGCATGATTTGGATAAAGCTTCATACTTGAAATTGTCTTTTGATTTGATCGGTTATTACTTATTTAGCAGTAATAATAAGTAGACACAAAAATAAAAAAATACCATAATATCGAATTCTTAGGTTTTCGCGATTGTTACACGTAGGAAATGAAACTATTTTTCCGGATTTAAATCGAGTATATTTGTTTTTCAAACAAACCGTGGTCAACCATGGGACCTATAAAGGGCCCGAAACGTCGGTTTGTTTGAAAAAACAAATATACGCGATTTAAATCCGGAAAAATAGTTTCATTTCCTAATACCATAATATTTTATGGTATTTTTTTATTCAAGTAAGTGAATCATTATTGTTACAAAATGACGTCTGGTTTTATAAGTCATTTTATAAACGTATAAGTATTCTTTTTTTACTGATTTTTTGAATTGAATAAATTTAAGTTCCATAAAATCGTCTGCTTAAAGGTTAAACCACATAAATGACATTTTCCACAAAAATCTCCAAATTATGCTATGGTAAGAAAATCACCATCTTTCTGCGCATAAAACTGTTACTGAGTATATAGCTTTTTTGTTACTGAGTTTCATCTGCAGAAAGATTGTGATTTTCTTACATAGCTCTATAAATTAAACACTTTTTGTGGAAAATGTCACTTATGTGGTATTACCTTTAAACAGACGAAATACTGTAAATGCAGGCCAAATACTTCCCATTACCATAACTCTGAATATATTATTGCCAAATCTGATTGACAGCGAAACACAGCTTAATGCCATATATATGTATAACTCTTGAATAGCTTGGTCGATACATTCTATTGCATACAGTCGACATTGACTGCAAGCAGTTATTGCGCCTAGTTCAGGAGTTCAGTGTATTTGTTGATGTTGAAGTGGAACCACAGAAGTAACTTGTAGCTTGTCAGTGTATTCCAAACGTTTATGATTCCTAATGCTTACTTTATTTTTGAAATCATTCATTTTCTTCTACAGAGGACCAGTTACAAAAAAATTAAAAATTGTGCAAATGCGAAATAAATTCTTTTTTTTCTTTTTATCTATAAAATATAAGTGCGCATTTGACCTCCATCTCACCTGACAGAAAGTAACAATGAGGTCGCCGATGGAACATGCACGCCTAATTAATGCCTATTCACTCTCGCCTTGAAAATACCCAAGTTATAACGTTCAGGGAACAACAACCCAAGCCTACACCTAGTCCCAGCAGGTGCAGCTGAAGCAACTGCCCCGGTGTAAAGTTACGCCTCATCCTGGAAAGGACCCCAGGCGTCCTTGCTGCGTTTTTTGGCCATGGATTCAATGTATCTGCCGAAGTTCAAATTGTCCGATAGGTCCACTCCAAGTAGCTGCAGACAGTCGGCTAACGGTATGGATATGTCACGAAAAGTCGGAGTCAAAAAGGGACTCCGTTTTGCAGAGAATAGACACGCCTGCGTTTTGGTAGCGCTAAATTTGACAAGATTGGCATTGCCACAATCGGAGACTGCCTGGAGTATCAAATCTAAATGGCTAACCATGGACTCTCGACAAAACTGCATTTCCTCTCCACTGACCCTTGCATTGGTCAAGTACCTATCTACAACTGTGCTGTCATCAGCACACGCAAAGGTATCTGGAATTAACATATCATTGATATGCAGCAGAAAGAGAGTTGCAGACAGTACGGAATATATCAAGAAAAGTTTCACCAACCGTGTTTTTTACCATTGTGTTGGTTTAAACCCCAAGTAATTGTTACCATTTGCAGTTACTGAAATATATGAAGTTGTTTCTCTTAAGGATGCCAATACCAGAGCTGCTTTTGATTCTCGGACTATCGTTCACATCGTCTGCAGCCTACGCTTGCAATTGAAGTCTTAAGTCTCTCTACACGCGGTCTATCTGGTAGTAGCCTAAGAAGTATAGCATCACGATATTCAGAATTTTTGTAATTGCCAGCTCATAACTTGGTCATCAGAAGATGACAAAAACGTGCGCATATTTGAGAAAGATAGAAAATATAAAGACTAAAAATTGTTACAAATGCTCATCAAATACTATATACTGCCTTACAATATTTTTGAAGAACTACACACATCAAAAGTGTCTAGGGATCAAGTGAATATTTTTGAAATAAAAATTATTTAAGCAATATTTACCAAATCCAGTCTTCCAGGACGACTTCTTACTTTAATGCTTATGTTTTATTTAACCGCTTACCCCTATATTTAATTAAAATAAACTAAAATTGATGTTTTTGCAAATTGTGGGAAAAAACTCAAATTAACGGCGTCAATTCAATGACAAAAAAATGGCGAAAATGATGATTTTGCTCATTTTTATTGTAAAGATAAGAAAATTAATAATCTGTATTTCCACCATTAACACGAATCACACAATTACAGCGATTTGGCATGCTTAAGATGAGTTCACCAAAATCACTTTGAGGAATGGCCGCCCATGTGTTTTGTAACAAGTCAAAATATTGTTCTAGAGTATGTACGGTATGCATACTCGGCACAGCTCTTCTTTGAAGCATATCCCATGCGTGCTCAATTGGATTGAGGTCTGGCGATTGAGCAGGCCACGGCAGAACGTTGATACGAGCTTCGGCAAGAATGCGTGTTACGACTCTAGCCGTGTGTGGACGTGCGTTGTCATGCATTAGTTGAAATGAATCACCCAACTGGCCTCGCAAAGGGATGATAACATCTGAAACAATCCTCTCTGCGTAAACTTGAGCATTGAGGTTACCCCTGATCCAAATGAGATCGGTTCTTCCGCCGATCCAAATACCGGCCCATATCATTATTGTTCCCCCACCATATGGATGAACTTCCTGACAATATCTCAAACGTTCATGACGTCCAGATGTTCTCCAAACTCGAGTACGTCTTGTATCCGGTCTCATACCGAAGCGGGATTCATCCGAAAAGCACACATAGCGCCAGTCTTCTTCCTCCCAGTTTCTGTGTTCGCGAGCCCATCGTAAACGGGTCCTGCGATTGCAGGGTGCAATAGGTGGAACTCTGAGCGGCCTTCGGGATCGCAGACCCACTTCACGTAAACGATTTCGGATTGTTTGATCGCTTATTAGCAAGCCTGAGGAGCTGTGGAGCCTCGTAATCAACATCATGGCGGTCATGGTACGATTCCGTCGAGCAGTATTTTGGATATACCGGTCCTGTCTGCGAGTCGTGATGCGAGATCGTCCTCCATGTCGCTCGGCCACGCTGCCCGTCATGCGATAGCGCGTCCAGAGGCGACTTATGACGCTCTGTGTAGTGTTAAGAGTGAAAGCCACAGCACGTTGCCTGGAACCAGCTTCCAACATTCCGACGGCTCGCATCATCACTTCTCGGGTTAAATGATGTCGTCTCTCCATAATAATGTAAATTGTTTCGGTTCCGATGCAGATATTGTAGTGATTTTGTCAAAACGCTATAACTCATTTTTATACAAAACCACATTGACAATCGATTTTCTTGTTATTATCGAATTTTAAACAATATTCCTTATTTAAATGTTAAAACTCACTAAAAAGTATCAATAGCGATACAAAAAATTTAATATAATTAACCCTAATTGCAGCAATACTCTTAAACGTACTTGATCCCTAGACACTTTTGATGTGTGTATTTCTCATTCCAAAAACATGAGATCCCTTTGAATCCCATTAGACCCCGACAAATCACGAGTTCAATAAAGACTTTGTTATGAGTGATACTAAAAAATAATATATTTTATTTCTTGATTCCTGATATCGCCAATTTATTTTATAAAGAAGTGTAATTATTGAAATTACAAAAAACTTGAAATTTTTGAACAATTTTGTTTACAAATTTCAATTCAATTACAAATTACAAATTACAAATTTCAATTACAAATCACATATACACTGTGCTTTATTAAAATAAAAAATGGGCTATAGTTTGGCATACCAAACTATATATGGATATGTATCCATATATAGTTATCCATACATACCTAATAAAACTATGGATATATGTATATCCATAGTTTTATTAGGTATGTTTATCAATGCTATCTTAGCATTGATACAATAAAGCCACATGTGATTATACTTCAAAAGTGCTTACAGCACAGAAAAGTCTTAAAAAGAATAAAAACTACATGAAACTAATTATTTATATAAGAAATGTTATTGCTCTTCTAAAAAATATCGACGAACTTTGTACGTAGAATTTTTAAACCACTTTCCTCAAAAGTTTTCATTGTTTCTCATCAAATCATCAGCATCATTACCAAAAAATGTCTTATTAGTTTTATTTATAAACAAATACAATACTATTTATATATTTTCAAGTATCGATACTCGAAGGGCAAGATTATTATTAGAAACAAATCTTAAGAAATAGTTATTTAACAAGTAAATACTATTATTTTTTCTAAAAATTATAACAATAAAATCTCGCCCTCTTACCATTTGAGAATCCACCGTGTTGATGTACTGTTCCATACTCAGCGTCATTTTGTTAAATTATAGAGTCCCACTTTACACAAATATTTGCTTAAATCTGCAACAAACACATAGATCATATTAATTAATATTATTTATTTAATGAGCGTTGGCTGTAGAGCAATCAACTTAAACAGTTAACAAATAATTAAGAAACTCAAAAATGCTTAAACAAATAAATTTAATGTATGTAAAAAGTATAACTTAAAAAATAAAAAACCCGCCATATTTTTTATTTATTACATTGACAAAATGAATGCTTTTACATTTTTTGTAACGTAAACATTTTCAACACGAATAATACGGAACGTGTATCCGAATATTCAATTCCAACTCGTTCTCTTCATTCATTCTATTCATTCTGTCAATAGCTCTGTTGTTGTTTGTACGCGATTTTGCGCTTTAATTATTTTCACTATATTAGAGTCCACCTAACCTAAGCCTTTATACAAGAACAATTATAAGGTAAACTAATAAACTATATATTTATATCTGTAAAACGTGTTTTATCGAATACATAGCAATTAAAAGTGTGAAACGTGATCATAACCTCCAATTGCAATATATAGGTTTTATTTTTAGCTGTTCTGAAGATTTATTTACTATTTCTATATCTTTAAAACTGTTACTATAATGTTATCTTAACACTACCAAATTGTAAAACATTGCAAATGACTACATTGATTTGTTATGAACGGTATTATCATTTATAAGTCAGTTTCAAGTAAAGAATAAAACGATTGTCCGTCCGACTGCCTGGATCTCTGCAATCCTAACTATATGTAAGGGCCAATGTTAATTATTAGCCCGGAGTGGCAAACTTGGAGGCCGGCGTTGTTGACCAATCTGTGACGTTTTAGTTCGTTAGCATTGAAAAGCTACCAAGAGCTACTGATTTGTCCTTTTTTGTTTTGAATAATATACTAGGGAAACCCTGTGTCGCGGGTGCCATGGGCATACACATAGACAACCACAAATTACACCCAAATTCACGAGAGAAATACATGTAGGCCATACAAGTATTTGTCCCGGCCCGGGAATCGAACCTAGGACGTCTGCTTGGCAGTCTGGCATGGTAACCGTTCCACCGAGGAGGCAGTTAAGTCTTGTTACTTGAATATTGTAAATTAATATTTTGTTGCTTATATGTTAACTTCCATTTAAGTTATTATAATAAATCTTGGAATAATATAGAAATATTGTCAATCCCTCCTACGTAAAGAATAGTAGGCCCAAATTCACAACTTTACCTTCGATTCTTGAGGTATTGCAATGAAATTTGAAACATAGTCATTATTTTTAATACATTATAATTTTATTGTGGAGTATAATAGAGAGTTATGAAATAATGCATCTATTTTTGTGGCTTATGATAGATTATGTAGGAGGAGAATTATGTAAAACTTATAATATATTATAACTTTTTGTGTGGAAAATTAATGTGCCCACAGTGACTGCTTACTTTGACCTGGTCTCCCGTCCATCTCTCCTTAGCGAGATGTTTAGGCTATAGTTACTGCCCTTCTCATAACTAACATATTTGCATTTTGGTAACTTTCAAGAAATTGGTACCAAAAGTTATATTGTCACCTTAAAAAAACATCAATTATGCGATTTTGCTTAATGATAAAAACTGAAACTAAATAAGATATAAAAAAGCCTATTAGAAGAGGTTGTAGATCTCGTTTTGCTGATCCCAGATTGTCAATAATTCAATAAAAGTCAGAAGGGCCATAGTATATTAGGAGGTTACTTCCCTTATGCAATTGAAAATTTCGCACGTGTAACTAAATCTATTTTTAAAAAAGGGTTCGTCATAATGATTGTCTTGGTTAGAGATTGCTCAAGTAGTCTATTATCAATTTTGCAAATATATATATTCTGTTTAATAACACTAAAGTTATGAGTTATTTTGTTTCAGAAATTAAATATGATTATTCCGGTCCGCTGTTTCACTTGTGGTAAAGTGATTGGAAATAAATGGGAGGCCTATCTTGGATTATTACAGGCTGAATATACAGAGGGGTAAGTAAGGTGTAGTGTGTTTTACAGATTTCCGGGTTATAGGTTTATGTAAAACTAGGACCCTTATACTTAAGATTAACACTTAAACTTGGTTGCCAATACGTTCTGTGAAGTTCTGGATTCCCAGTAGGACTAATTTGGGAAATGCACTTTTCTAAATTGTTTCTGGCTTTGGTGATCTGGATTTGTTGCTCTGGTATTTGTAATAATGTTTTAAAAAAAATATAATATCAAGTGACGGGACGAACAAGTCGTGCGCCTGATGGTAAGGTACACGTTTGTCCATAGCAGTTGCAGTGCCACTCAGAGCTTTAAATCGCAAATATCTGCAGGGCACTGCCACTGAGCCCATCACACTGAGACATAAGCTGACAAGTCCTATGTGCCTGTAATTTCACCCTTCTAAACCGGAACGCAGTAATGCTATCAGTACTGCTCGGCGACAGAAATAGATAAGGTGACAGTACTTCCCTGTACGAACTCTTTCACAAGGACCTCTACTGCAGCTAAAATAACATGTATACATATTTCATGAAATTCCCTAGTTTGACCCCAGACAATTAGTGTGGTAGTCTAGCAGTTTATTGCTTCTTATGTTTCTGAATTGAATGAAAAATATTGTCGTATTCTAAGGATTTAATAAAAACAATGTTTAAAAAGTTCAAATCCCACAACAGACTCGTTCTCACAAGGTTTAAAAATTTCATTAACATTCAAAAATACCCTGCTTAAACTACAAGAAAAACAACAAGCTAAAGACTATTAAAATTACAATACTATTAAATTAACAATACATAGCAGAGACCAAAAGAAGTAACTTGTTATAGACATTCAGGCACATGCAAAGTTATATACAGAAAATGACAGAATTTACAATGTATGCGTTGTAAATCCTACCTTATCATCTTATTCGCAATGAGCACAAAATTGACAATTTTGCGCGTTGTGATAGGCTTATAATGGTAACCTCTTTCAGTCTCTGCTTCATTTCAGGGACATTATCAAATGTAAATAAATTTATTGGTTGACATTCAAATCATTCCGAAATCATTCTCTGACTAGCTAATGATTAATCTGTACACAATGGCACATAGAATCATTAACGTCTCGTTGTATTTCTATGATTTGTTCCGAAGATGTTATTGCATTAGAACTACACGAACGTTAAAATTATAGTTTCTTTCGAAAATAATTAACTTCGATAAAGTTTATATATAATAACCAGTGATCGGAAATGAAGAAGTAATTTTAAACTAAAGAATAATGCGGACATTCCCTTCTACAAATCCCGGGACTTCTCGATTAACTTAACAGATTATATTTCATTATGCGTTATATTTATTGAAACGTGTATTAAGGAGACCTATCAATACTTGTGATTCATTATCAAAAATGCTAATTGAGTACAGCCTGTAGAAGCTGGAGTTATAAAATTGATATCAACTAAACCAAACCAAACCAAAACTAAAACAACTAAAACAAAAACCTATATAGGTTATGTCTATAACATTGTCCTGTATTTCGCTTCAGATGTTTGTTCGTAGTAGCAGAAAACAACAAGTTTTTTCCTATTACAATAGTTAGTTATATAACTATTGTAATAAGAATAGTTACAACACTTGCAATAGCAGTGCAATATATTGGTTTCAATATTTCTTTTTTATTTTGAAATCGTGTTTTCTCAATTCCACATTTTTTAGTTACGACAGTATTTGGTTCGTGTGCGACATGTGTCATGCAAAGTTATTTTTCTTTCTTTGAAATATACTGTTTTCCAGTATTTATAATTGTAATCCAGTTTTTCACGTGCTTGTGAACTAATTTAACTTATTTTTCTATTATTTCAGTGACGCATTGGACGCTCTTGGTTTGAAAAGGTACTGTTGTCGACGAATGTTGCTCGGCCACGTCGATTTGATCGAAAAACTTCTTAATTACGCTCCACTTGAGAAATAGATGTAATGAATATGTAATTTTAAAGTAGAGTATTGTAAATTATAACTTACGCGTAAGATAATAAATCATCAATGACATATTTTGTTTTAAGAATTTTTGTTGAAGCAAATTATTAAAATTATAATATTTTTTTTTATGATACCCAGTCATGAGACGAACAAGTCGTGCGGCTGGTGGTAAGCGACACGCCTATCAATAACAGTTATAGTGCCGCTCAGAGTTTAAATCGCAAAGATCTGAGAGTCACTGCCACTGCGCCGGTTACACTGAAACGTAAGTTGACAAGTCAAAGCCGGATCGTAGTAACGGTCTCTTTACCACTTGGCGGCAGTACTTCCCCGAACGAACTCTAACAAGAAACTCTACAGCTACTATATATTATTTTAATCGTAATTAAAATGCAACAAACATTATTGTGTTAACTATATTTTACACCATATTTTTAATTTCGTCCTTAAAAAATACATAAATATCCTATACGAGGTACTCATTCTCAGGCGACGAAATGTGGAATATTTGGTCGTCTACGCCCAAATTAATATCTACATTTTAAAACTTCCGTTATTCCCTAAATGAGTATCAGTGATTATTTTACCAAGGTATGAATGACTTCTCATTATTTTCCCGATATTTCGAAACGGTTACGCGCTCCATAGTCACGGGGTGACGAAAATATAAATCATACCGTGCTACACGCAAAGAAGGCGCTATGACGTCGAGTTACTGAAATTAACCCGTAACACCATTCTTGACGAATGTTCGTATGTCTACCTAGAGTGAACCAGTTTGATAGAAGCTACAGCTCAAAATGTTACGCAGGCACGGGGATTGGGATTTATCAAGTTTATATGACCCAGGATGACGGGCGCAGTGGCAGTGCCACTTAAATCTTTGCCATTAAAGCTCTGAGTAGCATTTTAGTAGCAGTAGAGCTCCTTGTGAAAGATTCGTCCAGGGAAGTACTGCCATCTTACCTATTTCTGCCGCCAAACAGTAATGGGAACATTACTGCGTTCCGGTTTCAAATGGAAGGGTTCTGGTGAAATTACAGGCACATGGGACTTGTCAACTTATGTCTCAGGGTGTCGGGCGCAATGGCACAGTGCCCCTCAAATCTTTGTGGTTTAAATCTCTGAGTGGCACTGCAATTGTTAGGGATGGGCGTGTCGCTTACCACCAGGCGCACGACTTGTTCGTCCCGTCACTTAGTATTATTAAAAAAAAAATATTTCAACTGTTATGAGTAGGCGTGTCAGCATAAAAATCTGTTTAGAGTATATGTCTGCCATTATTGTACATACACATACATAACATAACATAACATGATTTATCTAAGACGGAATTGTATATTAAAATTTTAAACCATAAAATGCCAAGAAACTTCTCCATTAAAGATAAGCGTTAATCTAATTGACGTGTTTTATTTAACTACGGTTTTACTTGTAACAATAACAAACTTGTAAATATTGCAAAACTGTCATAAAGCGTTACTATGTTGATGCTATACAATGTTGAAAATTGTGAAACGTTATAGGTAATATCTTTGTCATAGGACAAACATAATAGTTTTAAAAATTATTAGTAAGAAAGCTTTTGTTGTTAATTTTATGAAAAAAAAACTGTTTTTCAATATGGAATCAAATACCTACATACATTTCGTTTTTCTACCACAAAACGCTGTTCAACCCAAAACATTATTGTATTTCGAGTTAAATATTACGAAAAGCCAGAGTACAGATGTTAAGGATACTTCCCCTGTATCGCGAATGTTTATAGACAATGCCAACTTTACTTATGGTGCGGGGGCGCCGAACGCCGTTCGCGACGCTTCCACAGAGTCTGTGTCACTCGCGGCGCAAGTGACGTAAACACGCTATTGCTCCCCAACATGATTTCTAATTGCACCATTTGCACACAAAATTCCGATCACTGGAGAAAATATAAATGTAATTGTACGCGTGATGTCAAGGCATTGATTATAAAGGCGGCGGTTACCACATCTACTATCATTACCGAGTTGAAAATCAACTATGACCATGGGACCTGTAAAGAGCCCGATACTACAGTATTACAATTAGGATACGTTGGCTTCGTTTATAAAAAAACTACATCCGAAAAAAGATTCATTTCTATTGTGTAGCAATCGCGAAAACCTAAGGACTATAATAAAATACAATATGTTTCTTATAAAATAGAAGCGAATTTTGTAACGAAATTTGCACAATGAACCTCTTGCCAATTAAGTAACGTACAAACATTATAGATGCGATACGTTAGCTATGAGAATTCTCGAGATGTTTTTAGCTTGAAAGAGTAGTTTATACGTTACAAAATTTACATAAAGTTCCTTATGCTGTGGTTACAAAAATTTGCTTCCATTCCGTTCCTCGGCAATGTAAATTGAGCCAATGGTAGACCTAAATACTGTCAGCTACCTTGCCCAACATATTGGCATCTACCTTGCCCAACATGGCATCTACTTTGCCCAACATAACAGGCTTCTAGCTTGCCCACTAATCCAAAAATGGTTTCATTTCCAATCTACTGTTATTTATGTTGTTACATTTTCATTTTGGGAAAATCCACGAACTATTTACTAATATATTTATATACGCCGACATAAAGATGAAGATCAAAATACCATTAAGAGCAATGCCACACAGGCGTTGCCACACGAGCAATGAGGTGTCGCAACGTAACGCCGTTTAATCACGCCTTTTCAACGCACCATGTGGTATGTAGTTCTAAAATTTAAATATACTGCAGCGTTACCGTTCAGGTGCCTTACCATGAACTCTTATTACAGTTCAGTATAGGTTCGTAACGCCAAAAAAGCGGGATGTGATATACGCTTCATGTAACGCTGTCTCACTACGATTCATTTTAGGTCCTACACTGAATCGTAATAAGGGTTCATGGTAAAGACCCCGCCCACGCAACGCATCTCCTGGCATCGCTCTAACTTGTCAAAGCTACAAACTTTCTTATGTACAGATTAAGGGAATATAATATAGTTATAATGACTACCACTCCATTGTTGTCATGCCCTACGGGCCCATAAATGTATTTAAAATGATTATAACATGTATTCTACATATGAATATCAATGAAAGTATTGAGTGGTAACGAATTACCTGGAATTATAATTGATTAATTTCATATTGTCACATTGTGGCATGACAATTTTCAGCTGTTATGAATTTCCCGCGAATTTCCAGTTCCTGTAATTGTCATCAAGTATAGGTACTCCAACCACTCAAGCAGTGACAATTGTAACAACTTACCTGCTGTTATCAGTGAAGTCACGCACGTTTTATGAATTAGGGGCAAGTGTGGTTATTCAGGCAAGATAAAACTATCTATTCAGGTTAAGAAATATGTGCATTATTAGTGCTTTGACAGTTATCAACTTATCAGTTCTTTTGTAACGGTGACGAAAGGGACAATGACACTAGATGTTTTTGTATTTTCATCATTTCCAGCGGAAAGCCGTCCACCACTGAATACTAATCTACCCAATAATATAATAACCTACCCAAAAAAGGAGGTTAACTTCGACAAACACTATTTCGTCAACACATGTATTCGACAGGTCACTATTTCGACAGAACATGAAATATTTAATATAAATATTTGCTGTACTGAAAGACTACTTAGAGACCACTCCGTTCTTGAGCGGAATATCTTATACATATACATAAATATGTCTAAGAAATGATTAATAACTACAGCAGCTATTTGTCGATTTCATGTTCTGTCGGAATAGTGACCTGTCGAATACATGTGTTGTTGAAGTAGTTTTCTGTCCGGGTAGTGACCTATCGAATGTTTGTGTTGTCAAAGCAGAGTTCTGTCGGACTAATGACCTGTCGAACATGTGTTTTGTCGAAGTAGTGTTCCGTCGAATTAATGTGTAGTGGAAGTACTGTCGAGTCGAAATAGTGTTTGTCGAAATTAAGTCACAGTAAATTACCTCACATTACTGCGTTCCGGTTTCGAAGGGTAAGGGTGCTGGTGAAACTACAGGCCTATGGGACTTGTGAACTTATGTCTCAGGGTGTCGGGCGCAGTGGCCCTTCAGATCTTGTGGTTTAAAGCTCTGAGTGGCACTGCAACTGTTAGGGACAGGCGTGTCGCTTATCACCAAGCACACGACTTGTTCGTCCCGCCACTTAGTATCATAAAAAGAAAAGTTTAAGAAGCAGACGATCGATATCTTGGGGTAACCTATCAGTAATCCGAAATGACATTTTCCAGAAATAACGTTTGCTGGAATTTTCATTACCTCGAAAATAATTTTGAGAGGAAATTGTTTTTTCTTTTAAACCTAGCTTAACCTAACATAACCGAACCTAGTTGTGTCTTTGCGATAAACATCCAACATATCCTGAAAGAACAACGGATTCGGTTTTCGGTGTAATGACAATTCGGACAAACGTTATTTCGGAAAAAGAAAATTCGAGTTTGTGATAGGTTACCTATTAACCGACTTCAAAAAAGGAGGAGGATCTCAATTCGACTGCATTTTTTTTTGTGTGTTAAAAATAATTATTGAAGAAAAGTGATCGCACGTGTCGATCGTCAAATAATCGTACCAATCTGTGGACATTTTCATAATTTATCATATGAAGTGCTTAAGGCACTTAAGAATATGAAATTAATGAATGAATTATAACAAGTGTGTGCTAAGTGCAGACCAAGACGAACTTGCTTTGACCAAATTGAAGACGTCAAGTAGGGCCAGCAGCTTGATTTTGATTGCCTCTCCCGATCGGAAACTGCGTCTTTTCCGAGTCGAGGCGTATAATAAATAAACTTTCGCGTTGGATTGTACATACTAACATTTGGAGACGGGAATAAACGCGTTCAAATACGAATAGGTATTTTTCACGTCGGGAAACTAGACAGGTGTAAAAAATACATATTCGTATTTGAACGCGTTTATTCCCGTTTCCAAGTGCTACTATTCACAGCGAAAAATTAGTATTATTATTGACTTTTTTAAATTTATTTATCTTGTCAATTACATTTTTTTACAAATAAGATAATGTTCTCCCAAACTTCATAAAAGTTTATCGGGAGAGTTTGGTTGCTACGCTTACATTACAATCACATAACATTTCATTCTTTTACTCAATTACAGCTCTCTAAATTAC